CCGCCGCTCACCCACCATCCTGCCGCCGGACCCGGGCTCCTGCCTCCGCCGACGGCGCCGTTGCCGGGGTAACGGCGGGACGGCGGAAGACGGCGGCGGGGAGCCGAGCGCGGCGGCCAACAGGCGCCGGCCGGTCCCCGGCGCCGCCCCTCAGGGTTCCGCCTTCCCAGAGGTCTGCGGTCTCCGGTCTCCATGGCGACGGCGGGAGGGTGGGGGGTGTCGGCCCCTCAATGGGTCTGCCCAGGTGCTGGGAGCCCGGACGCACAGGCCGCTATGAGTTGTGGTCGAATTCCAGCTGCTGGGGTTTAAACCTCCTCACACACAGAGCACAGAGCTCCCTCGCGCAGGAAAAGGGTTAAATAATCGAGTTTAAGGTGAAGACAAGACGAGCTGCGCCGCGGCCAGAGGAATGCACTGACCAGCAGCCATCTCTCCTTTTCCCCACCTTCGGCCCTTAGAATCATAGAATCATAGAATGGTTAGAGTTGGAAGGGACCTTAGAGATCATCTAGTTCCAGCCCCCTGCCATGGGCAGGGACACCTCACACCAGACCAGGTTGCTCAAAGCCCCATCCACCCTGGCCTTGAACACCTCCAGGGATGGGGCATCCACAATCCCTTCACCTAAACATCCCATAATAAGCCCCGGACGATCCCCGAATGCCGTTCCCTGGCATCCCATAATGAGTCCCATATGCTTGCAGTCAGCAAGGTGATCCGGAGAGGTTCTCCCACTGACCAGAGAGCTTCTCCTGTTGTCCCCAAATGGGGGTTCTTCACCCAGTGTGTGAGAGCCAACCAACAAAGTTTGGGTTAAGATAATTTGGTTTTATTTCAGTTCTGTGGAATCGGGTGCTGGGCATTTAACAACAGGCAGCACACCTCATGTGTCAAGCAGCCCAATATTTATAAGGATAAAACACAGCTGTTTCCTTAATAATGATTCATTCACCACCACTCCTGACTACACATATGTATCTAAGCTCACGTTTTAAATATTTAGGGAGGTTATCTGGTTAGCATGCATCATTATTCACAAACAGGTGTATATTTTAGCATTATAATTACCCAAGGTTAGTTTGGGATACTTTCGTGGCTAGACTTTGGTCCAGAAATTGTATTTTTTGCTGTCTTATGTCTAAATCAGCAACTGCAAAAACATATTGTTATATTTCACATCCTATTAAAGATACCTATTGGGTACCTTCTGTGGTGTCTCAACCATGTCCCAACTGAAACTTCTTGATAAACTTCTTTGCTCCTTAGATACCACTTCCACTGACCAGAGAGCTTCTCCTGTTGATCACTCTCCTGTGACAGCCCTAGGGGGAGGGAATCCCACAGATGTTTATACTTTTCAGGTAAGCACAGCCACTCTGTCTGTGAATTTAATTATGAACATGGAGAGCATAATATAAAATGTTAAGGTATGCGGACTGTGTATGTTTTAACTGCATACAGTAGCTGATCTCTGTCAAGCTCTGCATAATTTTCAAGCATAGCCCATAGTGCCTCTGAGATTGCAGTTTGCTACAAATAAAACAGATTTCTTCTAGTTAGGGAAGAACACCATGCAGGGGAATTCCCCAAACTTTCATTTTTATATTGCCTGAATTGCACCAGTAGCAATGCCAGTGCAGAGGACCAATACATGACAGTACTGCTGACAACTCAACTAGCAAAAAAAATACATGTCTATGGACAGGAGTAATGAGGTATCTGTATTTCTACCATTTTTCCTTCCTTTTGCACTCCAACAGAAAAAAGAGAGGCACTTTTTTTTTATTTATATATGAATAAATATAACCTGTAACACTGCAATCACTTGCAATACACTCCAGCAGTAAAGAACTGCATGCTGCTGCTTCAAAGTGTGAGTTCCACACACACCTTCTCCTAAGCACTTCAAGATGGCTTGACTCAGGGACTATATATCCAGCTAGCAACTGTCCCTCAGAGGTTACTCTGCAACCAGGATCCACAGGAGCACAACAGTACCACCATGGTGTCCCTTGCTTATAATGTGCCTTTATACCACAGGCTATAAAGAAGAAAGGCGAATAATCCACGGTCCCATAGGGGATTTCTCTGCAAGAAATTAATTTTGAGTTAGCCGCTCAAAGTGACAAAGAATGTGTGCTAGTGATTTGGTCTCCCTTTATGGCTTTTCTCTATTAAGTAAGGTATTATTTCTGTCAGGAGAAAATTAATTTTCCATAAATAATTCTGAAATTATTTGCTTTTTTTGAGATTTGATTTTAAGTGTTTTTGATGTTGCCAACATTGTATATATAGACTAATTCACATAATACAGATATCTGTCCTCTTATCAGTTGTCTAGGATTTTCTATTATCTAAGAAAGAAAGAAAATTCCAGCAGGCTAGAAGGCTTAAGAGTCTCTTCTATCAGAACCCTGTGCAATCAAGAAAAACATATAGATTGACAGGGATATTTTAAGATGCCTTTTTCCATTCAGATCTTAAACAGTGTCTCAGAAGTACTTAATTTCAAACTGAAAGAAAATAGTAATTGTTGTAAATACCTCACAGTAATTTTCAGTACTGCTATTGAATATTCTGGCTCTGTACAGTAAACTAGTAAAACTGAAGATTTTGATTTGAGTTTTTTTATATAGGCATGCCAAAATAAACCGGGTAAAGGAGGAGAAACAGAAGAAGAAGTATCACTGATGAAGGTGTTACAATTTTGACTGAAATGCAAGCAAGACAGTACAATTAGGCAAGATTTTTTTTTTAACGTAATGGAAAATATAATTTTACTATATTGCCTTCTTCCATATCTTATATAGATTCTTTCACAAGATCCTGCTGTTCTAAGAATCAACATGCTAAACACAGCTAAAATATTGACTCAAATGGAAGAAAGCTCTCAGCTGCTCCACTGGTTTCTCCCATTTCCCAGTGGCTTCCTGAATACTTACATGGTGGGTCCAAAGCTGGGGAATGTGTGAATGCTCAGAGTTCTTCTGGCACAGTCTCAGTGGGCAAAGCTGTGACTGTCAGATTATTCCCTCATAGGTAAAGTCTAGAGCAGTATCAAAGGACAATGTGGTGAGTTTGGTTGGGATAGTACTCAAACAAAGCCATAGACTTTGCCATCAGAAGAAGGGTTGCTAATTAGAAGTTGCACAACTCAACAGGTGGGCCATGGATTGAACACAGCATAAAAATTAATTTGTCATATCCTGATCTGTAGAGTTTCTACCTGTACATAGTTTGTAAACAGTGTAAATAGGGGGCAAAATGCTAGAATTTGGCATTATGGCAATTGCTGTGGACTATCTGTGTACAGGAGTGGTCTAAAACCCATTCAGTGCAGTAGGAGTCTCCATTCATATCTAATTATTCTAATTGTTCACTATCTAATGTTCACTAAAGTTGTGTAGGAGGATACATGTTACTTAATCCTGTATTCTCTCCAGCATCAAATTTACCAAAATATTTTTAGCATGACTGGTATAGAAATTATTATTAAGATGCAGACCAAAGTAGGTAGAGATGTTATAATCCTTTCCTCATATGAAATGCCAAGATGACACTTCATAAATTAAAGACAAGAAGTTCAGCTACTCTATTAATAATGCTGGAAAACTGCTGCAGTTCTTCCCATCACCATTCTAGTAGCCAGTGGCATTATCTTGGAGGCTGTGAGCTGTAAAATGATTAATGATCATGTTTATTCACCTGCAGGATTGCTGGGAGAGAGGGAATTGACTTACACTGATGGGAGCAAAAGGGAAGTCATGCACCTGTGACTAAACACCAGGATAAGCATCAGAGAGTGTAATGAGTGTCTAAATAAAAAATCAGAGAGTGGAAAGTGAGGTCTAAGAAAAGGAGAGGAGAGACAGGAAGGAAATAAAAAGGGAGAGAAAGGAAAACCAAGAAGTGGAAAAAAAAATCATCATATAACCAAAGCAAGAGGTTAGGAAGTGACCTTTGCATCAGCAACAATCACATGCTTCAATTTCCATAATGTCTAGGTAAGATCATGTTTTTTCAGTAATGATGCTTCACCATGTTCTGCCTCCTATATCTTTGAAAATGCATCTGACAACATCTCAAGATAAATGATAAGCAAAATGAGAGCAATGAAATGCTCCCCTGTTAAAGCTACAAAGGCTATCCCCTGAGATGAATAAATGGGAAACAATTCCTTAAAAAGAAGGAACTTGAAGAATATTTGCTTCTTTTTTATGGAGTCAGCAACATCTAAGCTTTAACCCACTCTGGATAGACTACCCGTAATTAGAGAGAAGGTGAAATATGTAAGTTGACAGCAAAGACCACCCTGTAGAGCTGACAGATCATGTGTGCATTTAATGCTCTTGCGTCGTTTGTTAAGCCCAGCTGGGAACTAAACACTACAAAGCTGCTCACTCACTGCCTCGCTGCCCCCTGGTGGGATGGGGAAGAGAATCGGAAAAGTAAAAGTGAGGGAAAACTCGTGGACTGAGGCAAAGGCAGTTTATAGGAAGAGCAAAAGCCGCACACACAAGCAAAGCAAAACAAGGAATCCATTTACAGCTTCTTGTTGGCAGGCAGCTGTTCAGCCATCTCCAGGAAAGCAGGGCTCCATCACACATAACAGTTATTTGGAAAGACAAAGGCCATCACCCTGACTGTCCCCTCCTTCTATCTTCTTCTCCCCGCTTTATGTGCTAAGCATGATGTCATATGGCATGGAATATCTCTTTGGTCAGTTGGGGTCAGATGTCCTGGCTGTGTCCCCTCCCAAGTTCTTGTGCTCTCCCAGCCTGCTTGCTGGTGGGGTGGGGTGAGAAGCAGAAAAGGCTTTGGCTCTTGTGTAAGCACTGCTCAGCAGTAACTAAAGCATCCATGTATTATAAACACTTTTTTTTCAGCACAAATCCAAAATATAGCGACACACTAGCTACTATGAGAAAAATTCACTCTATCCCAGCCAAAACCAGCACATCTTGTCCAGTCTCTATTGCCCAGCTCAAGAACATAAACAACAGTCGTGCCAATTAAAAACCTCCAAGCTGTGAAATGAAAATTCATAATTTTAATCTTTATTTTGGTAGGGAAACCTCTTTCCTTAGTTTTCACTGGTGTTTATGTCTGTGACTGTACAGGATTGTGGGAACTGCA